GCCCTTGAGGGCGAAGGGTCTAATTGTTAAACAGTTGCACGTGTTCCTGGATTCCTGGCCGCCCCTGGACACCCCTGGCCATTCCAGTTCCAGATTGTTCCTGTCCAGGGTGCAGGGCCAGTCCACCCCTGTTATTCTCGTTGGTCGCCAGGGAGTCGTTTGCGAAACGAGGGGGAGAGTAAGGCCCAGTTCAGACGCCGAACTTTTCATGAGCCGAACTTAATTCGAATTTGGACCGACCCAAATTATCAAAAGTACACCTGTTGATTCAGAGGTCGAACTTAATTTAGTTTGAACCGAACACACATCGAAACATCAGCGGTTTTCAGGCAAGGTGTATGCAGTAGGTTCGGCACATGAAAAGTTCGACGTCCGAATCAAAGCCTTTCCAAAGACGAAATTCCCGGCTGAGCTAGGCGGGAAGAACGTCTGAGCCGTTCCAAATTCAAATAGCCGTTCTTAACTGATTCAGACGCCGAACTTTTCACGTACTTAATTCAACGTATTAGGTTCGGCTCGTGAAAAATTCGGCGTCTCAACTGGGCCTAAAATTTCAGAGTTGTTGTCCACCTTGCCAAACTGTTTTTCTTGGTTTATGTTGACATGGCTGATTCTGCAAGTGCTGACGGATCTATGGAGTTTTGGCTTCGCATGGAATCGAAACCACACGAGCAGCGCACGCCGCTTACACCGCGCACATGTCTACAACTGCTCGAAGCAGGTGAGGTTATTTTACCATTACATGTAACGCTTAAGTGTACTTATGTTTTAAGCGTAGTTTTAAATCGCCCAAATGATTTGCCTGAGGTGTTCTTTATTGGTACCAAAAAGCTTTCTTTTTTACGAAAGATTGACCAGATTAAGCTTCATTGTAGGTCGATTACGGCATGTACTAAAACCCGAAACAACGAAACGAAACGAGCGAAACGAAACGAGCGAAACGAAACCACCGAAACGAGTAAAATAATAAGTAAATAAATGAAAAAGTTAAAAAAAACCAGCCTTGATCTCTGGCACGTTACTATGGCAGCCGGATCTCGTACCCAGATCCACATGTTTGCCATCGTTACATCTCAAACCTGAAAGATGGATGAGCGCAAGGGTGTCGACGACGACCACGAAGACGTCGAGAAAAAAGTGAGTATTTTTCACATTTTGAATGGCATTCTAGCTAAAACAAGAAATGTAATTTCAAAGAAAGGTTTTCTTTTCTGGTCGTATCGTGGATTCTTAGGCGGTGGCGAATCGACAACGCCGAGCCCAGGATGTACGGAAACATAATCTCAAGAATATCCGTGAAAAGCTGAGCCCCTAATAAGAAATTACTTTGAGAACTGCAGGAGTCACGAAGGCCTGACGTTAATATGATTAAAGCTGTTAAGTCGCCCTCGTTTTTCTTTAGAGATATATATTAAAGAAAGTCCTGGTTCGTACGAAGAATGCTGCAAAGTCATTCTCGAAAAGATCATTCGATTCGCCACTGTCTAAGAATCCACGATAAGGCCAGAAAACCTTTCTTTGAAATTAGATTTCTTGTTTTAGCTAGAATACCATTCAGAATGTGAAAATACCCACATTTTTCTCGATGTCTCCCTGGTTTGTCATGTCACGATGTCACACATTTGGCTTAAGAGCAGGATCTGGGTACGAGGTCCGGCTGCCATAGTAACGTGCTAGAAATCAAGGCTTTTTTAAACTTTTTTATTTATTTACTTACTATTTTACTCGTTTCGGTCGTTTCGGTCGTTTCGCTTGTTTCGGTGGTTTCGTTTCGTTGTTTCGGGTTTTAGTACATGTCACTTTCAAGTATTGCTGACAATGATGAGTAAATAAAATAATAAATCACGTTATTTAAGTGTCAAAGTCTTTAGCACTACTGTGCTAATTGAGGACATTGAAATGAGCAAACAAATATTGAAAATTGAACAGAAACTTCTTAAAAATCCCAACTAGCGGGAGGCTGATCAGTTGGCCATTTACAAAGCGTGGAGTTTACTAGTAGTTTAGTCGTAGGCTGTGTTGTAATCGATTGCCTAATGGTGTGTTCCTTGATCCAGGTTAGGATCAGTGTGATCCAAGATCATTCAGATCATGTTGCATCAAAGGACCTGGTCAAGTATTAATCGGTTATTTTGATGCATAATAATCCGAGTGATCTTGTACTGTTGATTCTGCCATCCCAAAGAAATGCACCCTAAGATGCCATTTATATCTGGTTAGCGGTATAGCACAAAAGTTTGCAGATATTGCAATTCCTTTTGTTTATAAAACTGGCTGTGAAATACTCGGGGTTTATGTGTGCGAGATAATTGAAGTTAAATAATGATGGCACAAACCTATGGAGCCTTGTTTTACAAAAATTTGCTGCTCTAGTTGTCTGATTTGTTTGCTGCAATGTCACCGACATCGTGCTTTGGTAAGCTAAAGCGCGCGTTGATTGGGCGTTTCTAAAACGCGTGTCCCGCATCAAGGGCAGCGCGGCGATCAAAAACGCAGAGGAACGCAGCGAAAGGGTCTTCCCATGCTTGCGCTTCTCGCTCGTCCTAGAAAACCTAGGAAAGCCAGTGGAGGAGGCAGCTACGTTCTGTTCAGTAAGGACCTTACGCCAAACATAACGGCACCGATGACGAATGACGTCATCCCTCGAAAATAACCAGCTTCCGTCCATCTGCCCATCTATCTGTTTAATTGTCTGCGTCTGTCTGTCTGTCTGTCAATTACAATTACAGGGCAACGGTTTCTCATCTCGTCCTTCTATTAAATCTATACGGCGGTAGTGACTACAAGACCCCACAGAGTTTGTGGGACGACAATATCTAATAACTTGGCCTGCAAGCAGGCTCTCGACGAGCCCGAACGCAGCCGTCCCGCCCTGATCGTATCGCTCTCTGAATTCTTCAGTTTTACGCTCGTCTGCTCGCTTTTCTCCCTGAATTTTTTTTCCGTCCTCGCCGGGAGCCTGTTCGCAGACTACTTAAAACTTTATGGCGTGTATCAGACTGGATTTTATTCTCAACCTGGTGGTGTACGTTCCAAAATTTATTTCTGTCGATAGAAAAACAAACCCATCTGTGAAGTTTAACAAAAGCGTTTATCTAACAATTATGCCACGAGCGTGCGTTGGATATGAGATGATAGATAGCCAACGAGTAGCCCCCCCTACCCACCACGATGGATGGCTCCCTTGAATTGCATTATCCAATGATCCAGTTTTTATTACTTCAGTCTCTGCTGGGAGAACACAAATTTAGAGCGATAACGTCGTACAGAAGCACACAACTTCCAATTATCATCTGATGGAATAGTGATGATCATATGCGGGGGAGACCGCGAAACGCTATACACGAGCGCGGAGAAAAGCGCGGAGCGCGAAGACGGGATGGTCTCGCTCGGGGTCGACTGGGGAGAGTGACAATTTAGCTTTATTTCTTTAGCTTTTGCGTTGTTTCGGCCTTATTCTCGTTTACGTTTCGTTCTGCTCATCACAGAGGCTCCTGATCTTTTTCATACTTGCTGGTAATCAATTTTTTTCACTATTGTTACAACGGTTCATCAAGAATTTGCCAAATCATGAGCGATCACATTTGGCTTCGCGCCGAGACGAAACCAAACGAGCAACGGAGAGCCTTGACTCCAGAGAAATGCCAGGATTTAATCGAAAAAGGTAAACCCTAAGCTTATCAGAATAACAGTATCTGTAAACGTGTTGCTGATAACGGGAGATGCGATTTAATGGTCGTTATAATAAGTGCTCGGTTAGTTAGAACAAAACACTTTCATTGTGTCCCCTACAGTGATTTTCCAGAGGTCCAGCATGTGCTCTGCCAGGTTACAGGGAAGTAAGGTTTTAAAATGTCATGATATTCCATGATAGCTGTTTAAGATTTATGCAAAGTCACCGAACGTTTCTGCGATTTTGAATCCTGTGACCATCAATGGGCGTACGTACTAGCCTGCTCCAGGCTCTCCTCCCTCGTTTTGGCTCTCGCTCGCCCTGTTTTCTCCCTAACTACCGAGGGCTCCTGTAACAGGCCATGGGCGTACTTACTTCTTTTTACGTGACGTGTGATCGGTTAAAAAATTATCCGTGATGCGTGGTTTAAGAGGAAAATTCAGTGTGATGCATAATTGGTACCCCCACCCCCTTTTGTCACCTTTTTTCACAGCCTTTGACTGTTCAAAGATTCAGTATGTTATCTTTTATTTGTTAAGGAAAAACTTTGAAATTTTTTTTTCTCAAACTCATTTTATTCCCAGTGGTGAGATGAAAGAGAAATATCCAAATTATACCCTTACCACACATCACATAACACAATGAGCCCCAGGCTCACTGGTGAAATGTGTCTGAATAAATTACTTACTTACTTACTTTTTACTATTTCCAGATCCCATTCCTTAACACCCTGGTATTTAGGGAGCTTTTCATTCAACCAGAAATTCTGGTTTGCATTTCTGTAAATTTCCAGTGGTGATTGGAAGAGCATTTTCTGAAATTTCCGGGAAAGAGGACTACCTTGCTAGGTATACCAAAATTTTTGGAAATTTCTTACCAGGAATTTCCATTCCATTTAAGGTGATTCCCTAGTAAAAGAACCTGCCATAGGTTTCCAATGAAACTTGGTATGCTGTTGTCACAGGACAAGGAGATGTTCAGAATGTAGTAAAAAGAGGGGGTCACCGTACTTGTTTTCATATCACAATATGCTGACAAATACGGTTATTTAGGTGACTTTTAGTAATCTCCGTGCACAACAAATAAGCGAGATTATTTTTCAATGCAGCATGTTATATCACACAGAGTTTGACTTTCTTTGATTGTTTATTCATCTATGTCCCAGAAAAAATGTCTTCAAATACCCTGCATTTTTTTATCCTTTAAAGGAAACATAATTTGGACGTGCACTGTTGGGCCCATTAAGTCTCCCTCTGTAGTATTTATTTCATTTGCCTAAAAAGTAGCCATAGATTTCTGCTAATTCTTTTCTCAGTTATTGAGGATATTGTTCTCATTGAAATTATGAAATAAAAAGTAGGGGTCACCGTGCTCGTNTTCAACAATTTCCATTTTAATAAATTAATAAAGATGGTGAATTTTAAGCTCGGTAATGAAATGTGAAGGTGAATTAATCAACATGACACGAGCGTGAGAGAAAGAAAAATTCTGAGTCCCTGACAGGAATCGAACCCATGACCTCCTGAACACCAGGCGGGCGCTCTATCCACTGAGCTGCGAGAACTCATGGAGAGCGAGGTCATTTAACTGAGTTCATATATGATAGGTGTCCTGCATACTGCTAGGATCAACGCTATTGAAGTCGTCGTGAGTAGTGATAAATTAATAAAGATGGTGAATTTTAAGCTCAGTTAAATGACCTTGCTCTCCATGAGTTCTCATAGCTCAATGGATAGAGTGCCTGCCCAGTGTTCGGGAGGTCATGGGTTCGATTCCTGTCGGAGACTCAGAATTTTTCTTTGTCCCACGCTCGTGTCATGTTGATTAATTCACCTTCACATTTCATTACCGAGCTTAAAATTCACCATCTTTATTAATTTATCACTACTTACGATGACTTCGATAGCGTTGATCCTAGCAGAATGCAGGACACCTGTCATATATGAACTCAGTTAAATGACCTCGCTCTCCATGAGTTCTCGTAGCTCAGTGGATAGAGCGCCCACCCAGTGTTCGGGAGGTTTGATTCCTGTCGGGGACTCAGAATTTTTCTTTGTCCCATGCTCGTGTCATGTTCACCTTCACAATTTCCGTTTTTCTGGAAACTTTCCTAGGTGGTTTTTGTAACATTTGTCCCTGTTTCAAAATTGCCAGAATGTTTGGTTTAATGGTGTGCTTTTCAGAAATTCAGCAATTTGGATTTTTGTGGAAACCTCCCTAGGAAATTTTTGTACCAATTGTCATTGTTTCGAAACATACATCTACCTTACACCATTGAAGGAAGAAAGATCAAGAACGTGATAGAGTTTACTTAGCCTTCTCACAGGGGCTATCCTCCTGCTTAGTAGTAGGTGACTACATATTGAGTTTTGAACAATTAAAACCATCAAAAAACTATTTCAACTGTCTTTTTGGCCCCTTTTTGAAAGTCCCTAGACATTTCACCACCCCCTTCCCTTGGTGGGGTATGGATATTTCTAAAAGGGTCCACACATTTCATAGACTAAACTTTTGTGATTTCTTTCCTATTTAGGTTTTAAAGTTACAGTGGAATGCTCTGACCAGTCTGTCTTCAAAAATGAGGAATTTCAGTGGTTAGTGGTTTTTGTAATAATAATTAATGATTTCAGCTGTCCATGGGCGAGGGATGAAAAAAGTGTTTATTTCTTTTTACACATCACTTGTGCCAAGGTCTGAGAACATTTAAGATTTTCTTACATGCCACTGGTGAAACTACTGAGAATTCTACTTAGAGTATACTTGTATTTAAAAAAAAAAAAAAGTAACGCCCTATAAGGGTTCTCTTCTGAAATGTCAAAATTTAACTTGCTTGATTTTGATCCTCAGGTGCTACTGTTAATTATTTAAATTAAAAATTATCCTAACATAATAAAGTCGGTATCTTGTTCTGCTGCTTTTGAGGAACTACCCATCAAATATTCTAAGGGGAAAGTCAAGGGTTTAGCCTTCAATGCAGACATATTTTGGCGTGTGAGTTTATTTTTATCAAGCAAGGGCCGTCTGGGTTTCAAACTCAGGAGGGGCTTGGGGAAAGACAAAAAGGCATCCTAGGGTGTAGGAGTGATGCTGAAATAAGCCAACATGGCAGCAAATCTACTGGATCGTGAGCTAATACCCTTAATTCACGAGCACACTGCAAACAGAAAATGCCTGTACTGCTGGCTAATAAATGTTTTATTTATACTACCACTTACAGTATGTGCATTTTTGTTAAGTTACTTTTTCTGAACTCCTTACTGTATTTTGTAAATTCAGTAAATATTTATCAGTAAATTTGACAGACATGAGCTCTTATTTATATATCTTTAAGCATTCCAGGTATCAATATGGTCCCTGCTGGATCTTGGGTCACTGCTCCCAAAGAGGCCTTCATTTTGGGACTAAAAGAACTTCCTCACAGTGAGGACCCAATATCTCAAAGGCACATCTTCTTTGCTCATGCATATAAGGTGAGAAAACGTTTTGCCACCTGCGTACTGCATCTTTGATGTACACTATCTCATTTTCCAACTCATACCAGTTTCTGTGCCCCGAGGCAACTAGGCAGGGCTGTCATTAAGGGCCACAACCAACTGTAATGGCTGAGTGTTCTTGATGGGCTCTTAATGGTAGGTGAAGTTGTCTGTTATTGATATAATTCATACACAAAGTAACAAGTTTGTTTTGCTGGTGTGAACACTAAGGAAACAGGTGACTCAAAACAAAATGATGGCCTTGCTAGGATTGTTGCCTCTTGCCATTGGATGAGATGCTACTCTACACAGGTTATCGCCAGCATTTCAGCTCCCAGGTCACTTTATCCAGAGTGTAGAAGTCCAATGCACCAGGGAATAGGCTAGTTATTAAACTAACCTCAAGTTGACATATATGAAAGTAGCTAAAAGGGGTAGTGAATTTGGAAAGTGGACATTTCAAGCATTGCAGTGAGGACACTTGAGCCATGAATACTTGACATTTTTGTAAATTTTTTTGTGAATATAGAAATAGGGCATTGATATGATGCAAAGGCATTTTTACAATATTATTTTCTTCTTAAGTTGTAGGAATGCTAGTCCTTTTCATTATTTTAAGATCACTCATTTTAAAGTTGTCAAATAATTGAACAAAAAATACTGTGTCCTCATGGATGACCCATTCTTTTTTGACAATTTTTTGTTCTGATAAATGTTTATGCTTCAAGTTAACTAATAACTAGATTCCATGCATATTTTGTTGTGCATCTGTATTGTTATGTAATAGATCAGAGATAACGTCAAAATGTGGTAAGACCTTTTGTTCTTACCACACTTTGAAGTCTTCTGAACAGATGCAGGGCAACAAGAAATCTACATGTATGTGTTTTATATAATTATATAGAGACAAAAAAAGTTGTTAATGATGTCATCCATACGTCTGTCTTCCAATAGATCACAAGTAGGAATCAATCAAAATGGGGTCTAATAATTGTTGACTTATTATACATGTATGAATTACTACTGTTTTAAATATGCTTCCTTTTTAATTGTTATCTTTTAATTAATAACTTATAGAATCAAACAGGCTGGGCAGATTTACTCCACCGATTCATCAAGGGAGGAGGCAGCATTTATGACATTGAGTTTATGACTGATGAGACTGGTAAGGCCCCTTGATAGATTGTGTCCTGGTGTACCAGTACACAGAGGGAATAACCATTGTACTCCTTTCTTTATGAACCTTTGTTTAGCTGTTGAACATTGTTGGATCTTTTGTATCAGTTCTTGTGAACTGGTACACGAGGACAGAACACCTTGATAGGTGCTGTCACATAACATAGAATATTAACAAAAAGAGTTCAAAATTGTCTTGTCCATCAATCATGTGAAAGAAAGTTTGCATTGCATGTCACTGTACTTCTTGGGACACTGTTTTATTCTACACAAGTACTTTTAATAATTTCAGTCCATTCGATGGACATTGATCAATGTTTACCAGCAAAAACAGATTAAACAAAACTGCATGGTGTGAAATTAGTGGGATACTAGACTCTGAAACACTTCTAGTCAGAGTGGTTTAAAGCAAAAAAAATTGAGATTAGACTTATTGTAAGTTTTTGCTATTACATGTAGGTGTATATCTACAGCTGTGTCCAAATTAGTATTTGATGTCATCCTCAACCTGTGTGCCTTAATTAAGATTGTCATAACGTATTTGATCAAAAATGAATCTAGATTTGGACTTAAAAGCAGCTTAGAATCCCTTCAATACTAAAACTGACTGGAATAGAATGATCTTTTCAGAGTTGAAAATGTAAGTTGGCAGTCATGAAGCCCACTGCTTCTAGAACAATCATATCAACTTGTCTTAATATTATTATTTATTAGGAGTCAACAAATGTTTGTACTAGTCAATTTAATTTGAATTTCTAACCATTTATTTTCAGGAAGAAGAGTAGTGGCTGAATTTAGTGGAATGGCTGGACTTGGTGGAATGGGTCTGGGAATACTTGCTTGGTGCCATCAGCAACTGAGGTACAAGAAAGCAACAGTAAACTGCTTTTAGGAACTTTGAAGTTTTGTAATTAAGTTCACTTTCTCAACAGTCCCAATATACCAATGGCTACAGTGAAACCTTATGATAATGATGCTGCATTCGTTGATCACATCAAACTACAACTCAAGCAAGTTGCCAAGTTGAAAGGTAATTAGCTAGAGGTTTCCGGGGGGGGGGGGGGGGGGGGGGGTGAAAGAGGGTCCGAAGAAAAATATTTAAGATACGGAAAAGAGCAACATTTTTAAGATCGTAAAAGGAGAAAAGGCAAGGTGTTCAAAGNGGGGGGGGGGGGGGGGGGGGGGGGGGGGGGGGGGGGGGGGGGGGGAGGTCCCCATAAAATGACAGGGTGTTCCATTGGAAAGTTTCATAAGAATCCCTAAAAGTTACCAGAATCTCCTGTTGAGGACATGTCTTAAATTCACTTTCACACCGAAGAGGTATCAATCCTAAAATAACAAATCAACTGTCACTTTGTCAGCTTATTACCCTAAAAGCAGGGCTCAAAAAGAGTGCCATTGGGTCACCCAGGACAAGTAGATTTTCCTTCTGGACAAGGGATCAGGCAAGTCATCTACCAACTAAATCATTGAAAGAGCAAACTAAAACTTGCCCAGGGCAAGCCAAATTTGAGGGCTACTTGCTGGAATTCAAGTTTTTTTAGAGCCCTGTAAAAGGTACCACAATAAGTCCAATGATAAACTTAAACACCTTAAAGCAGCACAAATCCAGAACATTATTAAATATATTTTACCTGCCTGAAGGGTACAGCGAGTAGCCCTGTCATTTTATCAGGGAGTCTCCCTAGGCAGCAGACCTCTCTCTTTACATGTTGAGGGCTCACGCGATCAAGGCGAGTCTGAGATTCAACCTGAAACATTTTACACTCATTGTCTGTTTCTTGGTTTGGACTTCTGGTAAGTAGTGACTACCAGTCCAAAACACTGATAAGATATGATCAGAGTAAAACAATTTGAATGAAGCATTTTTCTCAATCATATATTTTAATATAACTTGATTTAGAAATCAGGCTATATATCAGATGTCTGTATATCGGGGAGAAAAACTGAGCATGTAAATATGGAGTACTTTCAAAATTTAGTGCATCATGAATTATCAATGAAAAGAATTGCAAACATTCTGCCCTGGTGTAGATATATTTATTTCTGTCAGCTGAAATGATGTTATTGTTTTCACATTTGACATGTTAGGTCTTCCTGAAGTGTTTCCTCGGATCATTGTGATTGGTGCTCTTGGTCGCTGTGGTAAAGGAGCTTTAGAGATTGCCCATAAGCTGGGTCTTCCAAAGTAAGAACCAGTGAGATTTATATCATGAATACAGTTGGTCCCTGCTAATTCAAATTTGGTTCTTTGAATTCCCTGTCATTATGATGTCAGACCACCTTGGAACATAGCCGGAAAACTACAATTTAGGCTTTTCATTGGACTTTAATCTTGTTCAGTAGTGAGCATCATCCTCAAGTGTTCTCTTGGTCAATAAAAAGATACATCCTTTTGTGTTGATTACATATTAGTAACCTCTTAAGGTGGCTGAACACAGTTTTTGGTAACTGCATTTCATTCACCTTTTTCTCTAAAACCCTTGATCCCTCAGTCTTCAAAAATGGCAGCAAGCAAGTTAACAACACAAACTTTGGGTTTTTGATGGTTAAGCTGACATATGTGCCGTTGCCATGGCAACATGAATAAATATAAACAGGCCTTTAAAATCGGTTCTGTTTATTTGTAGATAATCTAGTCATTAGATTTTCTTTATAATTTGCTTTGCAACAAGCTTGTAATGATTCTCACAAGTTAACACCATTTTGCTAATAATTTAACAGAGAGATCTCTAATGATCCCTTGTTGAAGGTTCACTGGAATATCTAGAATTTCCTTTGTTAAACTTCAATTATTTTCAATACTCCAGTTACTTATTTCCTAAAGTATTTTCATGCCAAATTTCGTGAAATTCTAATGAGTGGTTCTCGAGTATTAGGCATATTTCTGAGAGCGCAATTTTTCGTTCAATCGCGATTTTTTTTGACTTACTACGCATGCACTGCATTTAACTGGGTTCTTCTGGTAACAAAGGAAAAACTGAGAATTGCTGGGTTCTTTGTATCGTTACCTTTTCTAAGATACCTTTGTAATAAAAGACTAAAGCCATCAATACACTGCATTCAATTGAAGAGAAAAATAGCACAGATAGTGCAGGAGTTGAGTAAATAAAATGATCGCTCTATTGACGGCATGTTGTTTTTTGCAATCCTTGTGTGTACGCTGAATTGCATCAGTAAAAGCGCGTGCGAAAACTGTGTTCGGCCACCTTAATTGTTATTTTCATGTTTCATGGTGACCCAGTTATTTTGAACTCCCACTATTTTGAACATGTTGGTGTTCTTAAACAATCAAATTTCTCCCCTGTGGGAAATGAGTTCTTTTCTTATTGCCAAAGTTTTCTATTGTTTGGCAATGTTGACATAATGTGGCCACCGCAAAAATGCTCCATTCACCCCTGATAATTTCTCATTAAAATTATGACGCTGATTTTCTGAACTTGAACGCTTGTAAGTTAAACAACAACATTGTGTGTTTGCTAGTTGTGACACTTGTCCTCGTCACTTTCACTGCTAGGGCTGCCATTGCTGAATGGGATTTGGATGAAACAAAGCCGGGTGGCCCTTTCAAGGAGATACTGGACTATGACATTCTTGTTAACTGCATTCTTTTAATGGAGGTACAGTAAACTCTTTTGGATGACTATCGGTCTTTGTTACTTAATTATCACTTTGGTATGGAAAATTCACATGTTTAGTGTGTCACTATTGCATTAGCCCTGTGTGAGTAAATGTGTGAAAAAAATTCATAGTTTTTTCACAGGATGCAATCTGTAGAGAGGGCTCTTTTCACGTGGTTAATACTTAAAACCTGTCAAACCTGCAAAATTATGCAGCCTGTAATTTTTCCCTTTTTGTCTCACAGCCAGGTTGGAAAGCCATTTGTTGTTTGAACAAAATTTAGCCAATAACAAAAATCATCTTGTGATCTTCACTTGCACTTGTGATAGATATGAGATCTAGAGCCAACTAGGTGGTATGCACCTCACTGTATCATCATAACTACCATCTTATTGTAGAATAATTGTTACATTGTCAACTGTACTAGTGATTTGATTAGGGATCCGATTTGTCCACAGAGCATTAATTATAAAATTTTGCAAAGTGAAGAAATCATCCTCACAGCTTTGTTCTTGTACAGTGCGTCGTTATTGTAATATTTCAGTTTATTCTATGATCAGTTGGTAAGTGCTGAAATTGCCTTAAGTTGTGCAGCTTAATAAGCCAACGTGCATGCCAATTTTAAAATGTGTGGACATAATTGTAACAACCATTCCATTCTGCCATTCTGTGCTTCTAGTATTTTTCAATTCATTTCCTTTTCATCTTTGTAGAAAATTCCACCATTTCTTACAAAGGAAATGTTGGAGACAGATGACAGGTACATACATTGCTAGTTTACAGAGTATTTACTGTTATTTTTAAAAGAATTATTACTTTCAATTGTGGGTATTAGGTACTTAAAGTAACGAGCTATTGATGCCCTTATTTGCCACACGACACAAAGAAGATTGAAAGGAAAGAAATGAAGTAAAATAATCAACTATCAATGTGCAATCCTTGTTCCAGATAAGCAAGGGGTCTCAGGTCAAAAACCTGACAAGGTCAGCTGTTAGGCTCGATTACCAGGGGCTGTTTCGGGAAATGAGGCCGTGCTCATGGCATGGGGACCCAAGAGAGTGGCGGAAATTGAGCCTAGTCATCTACATGACCGGAGAAATAAATAGGAAAGTTATGCTAATTTGGTGGAGCAGTGGGAATTGACCCGTTGGAATTCCTTATTGATACCCTGCCTTGAAAATTTATCTGGAACACTGCTTGCTCATGACCTGAATCACCCAATATGATATTCTTACAGGCCAGGGTGTTCAAAGCCCGATTACGCTAACCCAAGATTAGCAAGAATTTTGATTTCAGTTTTGTATTTTTTGGTGAGGTTTTTTGTGTTTATATTGTTTGTCCTTAGTTTTGAGCTCGAGTAGTCTCAAACTACACAGAACATAAGAAGTGAAAAACATTTTATACAAGAAAAGTTGTTACTCCAGTTAACTTTTAATCCTGGGCCGGCATTAACTAGCTTTTGCACAACCCAGCCATAGTCTATTTACTTTGGGCATGCTATAAACCTTTAACATAAAATCACCTTATCACTTGGTCACTGAATACCTACATGTAATTAAAAGGAATAATAATTATTCTATTGTTACTATTGTACCTGGGAATACAAAGTTGTTCCATCTTTTTTTATGCAGGGTGGGCATTACATAAAAAGAACAGCATGGGCCAGATTAGCCTGCTACACCAGTTAATCATAATCATAATCATAACTAGCTTTACTTTTGGAGGCATTTTGTACAACATTACTAAATACATTGTTTACTTCCAGGAATTTGAGTGTGGTGGTTGACGTGAGCTGCGATCCTAATAATCCATACAATCCATTGCCATTCTACGAGTCAATAACTACATTTGATCAGCCATGTGAGAGAATAAAACTCAGGTGGGTTTATATACTTACACAGAATAAATATCTGTCTGTGAAGAGTGAAAAGTGTTCATCAGCTGTATAGATTCCTAGGTATCTTTATATGTCATTCTTAGAGCAACATTGAATTAGAACAAGAAGTGTGAGCATTTAACTGCACTAATTACCATACTGAATCAAATCTTATTAGTACCTTGCATCCAGTAAGTAACCCATTTCTGATAAGCACTCCCTTTGAGTGTTGTTTAATGTTTAATAAACACTTGTATTCCAATGAGCATCCCCTTCCAATCCAATATGTGCCCAGTGCAAAAGTAGTGACATGCATTAAAGAAATTGCCATAGAATAGGCTGATTAGAGTGAGTGAAAGTTCAATGTAGTTTGGTTTCTCATCTGAACGTAGCCTGCATGCCAAGCATTCCTATATGAGCAAGGAGTTTCTTGTCTGTTAGTTTCTCAAAAATTGAGGTAAGAGTGAATGATTTTTTCATTCTTGTCCAAATTTTCATGCGGCCAGAATCTGCATAAAGCTCTTCACTTGTATGAGAAAGCTTGCTACACATGATCTGAATGTAAACATACTGGTTTGGAATGACAAGGAGATGGTGTTACAAATTTGAAAGCTCTTAATGTTACCATCTCTAGTTAAGGGATCTGTTGTTCATTAAAATGCTAGCTGTAGTTCACAAAGAGCCACCTCTTCAATAAGCACCCTCCTTTGGGATACCAAAAGTACATTAGTGCCCAGCTACTTAATTGAATCATTACAATACCTGCGTCACAAGTTTTGCCCGAGTCTACAACCTGAGTTGTTGAATTATTTGCAAGTGGAAAAATCTGTGTCAGTAGTATTTTTTGAAGAGCCCTTTCCCCCCCCCCCCCCCCCCCCCCCCCAAAAAAAAAGGTAAAAATATTAAAATAAAAAAAATAAAATATGAAAAAAGAGAAAGTGAGGTGCAAGTAAAGCCACCATTTACCACCTTGTAAGGTGTGTTGAATACAACCCTGCAGATACACCAGCCTCTTAAAACCGCCAAAACACACAGCATTTCAAACATCAAAACAGATGCTCAGGTTAAACTGCTGCATTACTCCAACCCACCCCTCCAAAAAACACAAGAAAGGAGACCACATATCTCTCTTAGCCATTAAAAGAACTTTGCATGTTCCATCTCTTTCATTCCTGAAAATGCTACTCCCCTCAGGATTTTGGATTTCTGTTTAATTCAGAGCAATTCTAAATCGAATTAGTAAAATTCTACTAGTATACTAATGAAAATGCTGTAATCTGATTGGCTGAGCTATTGAACACTATCAGCAGTTAGTGTGCAGTGTACCCTTGTTAACAAAATGACGGCCGCTTCTTGGCGTCTTCGACGTGTCTGTGGAGAGGTTTTAGATTAAGTTTTGAATGACTAGTAGATTTATACTAAAACAATTAGATTATTCGCTCTCGATTTCTATGCGTGATAGTTGACCCAGGCTGCGCCCTCGTCAACTTTCACGCAATAGAAATTTAGAGCTCATAATCTAATTGTTTATTATACATTTTTGGGAAATTTCTTGTACATTTGAAATTCTCACAATTATGTACTCTTCCTTGGACCCTGTTTATTCTGTGTTTTATTTCTTAGCTGCAGTAAGCCTCTTGACGTGGTAGCCATAGATCATTTGCCTTCTGTTTTACCACGTGAAAGTAGTGAGAGATTTGCCAGCAAGATGACACCTTATTTAATGAAATTAGTAGAGGTAAGAAGAACATGTTACTCTGGGGTTGTAAAAATGAGTTTCTTTGGCAGCTAAGTGATAACAGCTTCTTCTCAGGCTATAATGGGTTACTTTTGTTCAGGGGTTATAAATTGTCTTGCTATCTCAAGCTTGGTTTGTTACCAACAGGATGTTCCTTAATATTAAAAAACCTTCCATAAATTGTTAAATAGACGATTTGACTGAGGCCTTGAGCTGCTGNTGGACCAGCATCCGATCCAGCGGGGAGTAGAAATACTCCTAGTCGCTTCATGCTACAGAAACCGGGATAAGCTCCGGCCTGATGCGCCACTTGGCTCGTATGCAGACTTTACCTTACCTTTGTTCAGGGGTTATAAATTGTCTTGCTATCTCAAGCTTGGTTTGTTACAAACAGGGTGTTCCTTAATATTAAAAAACCTTCCATAAATTGTTAAATAGACGATTTGACTGAGGCCTTGAGCTGCTGTCATTCTTTTAATTCCAAGCTTTCGCCAAACTACGGCATAGAATATGTAGTCAAATTGTCTATTTAATCACCCAACATGCTAATGAAGGACAACTTCAAACAATTATTAATTGTGCTTTCAGGATCCTGTTTGGATCAGAACCAAGAAGATGTTTGATCAAAAAGCAGCAGAAGCTAAAGAGTTTTTGAGCGCAGGCTTACATCATTAAATTAATATATTGCATGAAATGCAAACATGGTAAAGCATGTGACAAGAGATGTACTCTAATGAAACTGAGGAGAAGTGATGTTCAGAAAAAAAATACAAACATTCATAATTTAAGTTTATTAACTATAGTTTATATTTTAGAATTCGTAGAAGAGATTTGCTTAATAATTTCACTATAAAACACTGCGATAAAATGGAAGAACATTGTAACGAAGTGTAACAAAAAGAGCAAAAAAATTAACAACACTTTTATATCATTGTTTCCTTAGCATTCGTGTCCCGTAGGAATTTTAGTTTGTTTTTAACTTTGTACCATTTTTATTCACTCAGTTGACTTGATACTTACGTTGAGCAAACGGCAAAACGTCGTCATTAATTTTTGAACCAAAACGGTTTTCAGTTTTTCCATTTTTATCGCAGTGTTTTATTGTGAAATTTTAAATTTTCATAACTGGTAATATATACTGCCGAAAGCTTATTTAACTTCTCCCTTTCTTGTCGGACTACATAGTGTGTGGACATTGATATCTGATCACCAGACCCCAGTTGTTCGAAGACTGGATAACGCTCTTCACAGGATAAATCACTATCCAGCGGATAAGTGGTAACAAGACAAACCACGCTATCCGCTGGACAGTGATTTATCCGGTGGAAAGCGTTATCCTCCTTTCGAACAACCGCGGCCAGTTAGTTATACCGATGAGTTAACCTCACATCTGGAGTGGGAATGGATAGCATATCTCATATCTGAGAATTGACCAAGTCCATAATATTAATTGTCTTAAAAGAAGTTGGGAAGTCAGTGCTACCAGTTTGAGACAAGATCAGCGATATCTTATCAAAAACAACAACAACAACAACACTCGAGGTATTATAAGACCTTCTAAATAAATGGAAGCTTAAACATCACATTTAACTGACTATGGTAAATTTCAAACTTTCTAAGTTTGATACTTAACAGTTTGAAATTTGCTGTTTGTCAGTTAAAAACTCTATCTACCTACCTGACCTTAAAAGACAGTTTTGTTTTATCGCCTGCTCCAACCTCCTCAAAATTATTTTAAAATTTATACTGAAGTCTTTGCCAACAAAGAAGTCCAGCAGAACATAAGAAAAATTCGATTGCAAAAGGCCTTGGTCTCTGCTCTTAAGTCTTAACTTAAAGAAACACGTAACTTTACAGCACAAACATGACCTAAGAAATCAGGTTGAAGTATTTGTACGGTAATTTAGGAATCAGGGACTATTTGCATTTTGAAAAAGTATCTGATCCTAGCGTAAGTGTACACACATTTTGCACATCATAGATTTCCTTCTCCGGTGACAAAACTCAAGCAGTTGACGTTCATGTTTCTGCGATTGGAAATCTTGTAAATCAAATGTTTCAATCTAATGAACTACATCAAGGATTAAAGCTTGAAAACTTGGGTTTCGCACGGAACCGTCCTGTAATGTGCAAAATGTGTGCACAGTTGACCAATTTTGATATATTAAATTTCTAACTTAGTTCCGAGGCTTCAGGGGTCTGAATCAAAGGAATAAGATCGAAAAAAAAAAAGAAACAGTTTCTTTTGTTTAAATCTCCTAAACCTCACCACATGTTAGAATTAAACTTTATCGAAAACTGGACTATGGAGAAACTAACAAAATACTGAGACACGTCACCTGGCTGGCTACCTTTCCATTGTTATGTAATTAATTGATTTTATGCATTGCTGGTCTGCATTGCGCAGTATTTAATGATTGGAGGAATAGGAAATTCACATATGAATTTTATTTGAATAAGAAATATAAAATATAAGTTCTTACTCAGTCGCAACGTAAATACAAGCTTATGATTTGATTTATGAAATGATTTGGCGGTACATTTTTCTCACGGTTAATTTAATTTAAATGCTTCATTACGTAGTACACTTATGAAAGTGAACTTGAATTAAATTTGTGGGTAGGTACATTTAAAATTTTAGCAACTAATTCTTTAATATTGTCCTAGAACTTGGCGAACAACTATTAGCAAGTCCTAGTAGTGTCATAAGTGGTGTTCTTCTGTGTGTGGCTAGTTGGCAGAGTTGCCATATTACTTGATTGCTTCAGCAAGAAGCCTTATGTTGTATTGCATATTTAGTATGGTAGTGACTAAATGAATAAAAAGTCTTTCACTGACTGAATATTTTAACCAGTTATTATGATCACTAAACAAACTGGAGAGCTTTTGAGAAATGAACAAGAATCATCCAATGCTTTCTATACAGAAGGGTTTATCAGTTCTTCTACATTACTTAAAGAGTCTTGCATCTTGTTGAGAAAACAGACTGTTATTCACATTTCTCAAACTTATTAATAATTCATTAAGTTTAGACAGGAATTATCAAAGACGTCAAAGGAAATCATGACCGTGGCGTTCTTTGGATATCTGATCTTAATTAGCATAGATTTTAACGATTTTATTTCTCCGTTTTCTCCTTAGTTTTAGTCTCGATTGAGAAGATATATCAAAAACTCAAGACAGTGTTTGACCACATTTCCAAACACCTCGAAGGTCGTCAAAAATACTCCGCTGCGCGTCATATTTTCAACTCTCTTCTCGGTGTTTCGAAATGTGGTCAAACACGGTCTTTCGTGTTTGATATGTCGCTTACCCGGTTTTACTGAGCACTGTAACGCATGTAAGTGAAGTGGACATGAATTCGCGGGACCGTCTCACTGGCATTTGTCGTGCTGTCGTCACGATTTCAGTACAAAACTGTATTTGCAAAATATTGTCTTATCAGTCGTAAAAAATAACTTACCGTTGTGGAACCACGTGCAGGCAATAAATCCTGACCCCCGATTAATGTGAGCTTAAATGCCTTTTATTTTCGTATGATTTCCACGATACTCCACGAGTATTAAAACGTGAATCACAAAGGAATTCTGAGAATAGTACAAGGTCCTAAGTCCAAATTAAAAAGGTTTAACATGTTTTACATCTACCCCACAGTGTGCAAAGGTAATCCTCTCTGATGACCCAGGGCTAGTGATCCTGTGGATTCTGTCCGTCACTTACCCGATGGCTAAATTAAAATTTTTGGACCTTATTTGGGAATTTTTTGCAAAAATCCAAATTACAGAAGAACTTTAAGAGATGAACTTCGAAGGACAAGCCTCCTCCAGTTCTTCAGGTGGCCGAAGCTGCAAGGGGTCTGAACTAGGCACCTGCGGCCAAGAGCGAGTAATCTGACCAGAAGTTGAGTTGCCTCTTTTCGGTTTGCTTGCTCTGGAGGTAGACAAACAAAATCTTTTTTTTTTCTCTCTCCCTCACCCCCACCCCCCGACCCGTTCTCGTGTGTAACGTGCACCACTCGGAGTCCTGTAAGTTATTACCTTGTTATTACTCTTTTTCTTTGGCCATTGTAGCTTGATAAGAAATAACACGCAAACTGCGGTGATAAACATGGCAATAAAACGCATGTTAAAAAACAAAGTTCATTTACTTGACGTTTCGTAAGAAACGTCAAGTAAATGAACTTTGTTTTTTAGCATGCGTTTTATTGCCATGTTTATCACCGCAGTTTGCGTGTTATGTCTTGCCTTGCTATTGTTCCAAGATCCTTTGCGAGCGTCCCAACTAAACATGGCGCCCAAAGAGAAGAAGGTATTTTTTGTTTAAAATCATTCCTTTTCACTCAGTTTTGATAGTTTGAGCCGTTTGAAATATAATGAGCAACGAAATGTCTTCTTCTTTTCAGGTAAACTATGATTCTTTGATCCTAAATTATTGGATGTAGGCAGAATAGACGTGGCACGGGTGCTGACTACTCCGAGTACTAAAGTAAGCTCATCGATTTTTGAGGTACAAAAGCAAATTTGTACTTGATTCTGACTGCGAAAAGTGATGAACGTAGTGCGTAGTATGTTACATACATTAATCTTACTAAATAGTTCCTTTACAAACCTGCAAATTACGAAGTATGAGGTTCAAGGGTCCATTAACTGACCTTTTCGAGCCGTTGCTTCGAAAAATTTATTCTCATATAACCTCGTCATTTTTAGTTAGTTCACAGACAGCCCAAGCTCTCTCTATGGACCACACGAGCAACACAATATGGCATCGAATTATAAGGGTTTATGTGGGATTTTCTACAAGATATCCATGGAGGTAGTTAAAAGTGAAAATTCTCAATAAAAATGGCTTACCTTATTTCATATGTGTGTTGTTTGCTCCTGGTGTGGTTATTTTACCGATTGAACTTGATTTACGCGACTCTTTTGAATTCTTTATAAAGGGAAAACCGGAATTCAAAAAAGTCGCCCTAGGTCACCAGAGAGGAGTCGTTTGGTTCATAGAGAGAGCTTGGGCTGCCTGTGGTAGAAGTATTAAGTGTAGCACGATATTACAACCAGCAATGGGCAAGAACAGTTATCTACAATAAGGGGATGAGTANGCATTTTACAAAAATTATCATCGAAAAGTCTGCATGCACATGTGTTGCTAAACTGGGTAAAACGCTCGTATACGTGCCATAATAAGCTTTAAAACTGCACGTTGAAACATGCTGTGATTTGTTTACATATCTGTGGTAGCTGAAAGATAATTTTAAGAAATACAAGATAAGTTTTCCAAGAAATTCTCACCTGGAAATTAAGAAAATCTAGTTTTTTGCCTCAAAAATTGGGGGTCGACTTATACACGGGATTGACTAATACACGGGTATATACGGTAGCTACCCGAACAACCCCTCGATACGTCCAATGTTTGAATTTTTGCGCTGGCCGTACAAAGAAAGAATCTCGTTTATGAGAAGTTTTGGTGTATACAGCAGAGAAAGAGAAAAGAACTTCAGACAAAAATCTTTGCTCTGTGGGATAATTCTAACTATGCTAAAAGCGTTGCATAGAAATACTAAAGCCGATAATGTTCTCTTAAAGTGAAGTCCCAGTAGCTGTTTACAAAATGGACTCCAGTTAGCAGAATAAAGGGAAAGGGTTATTAGGCGATGAGTAACAAAATTAAGAACTAAGTGCAATGAAGAACTAAAACAAACATTTCTTTTCAGGATGGAGGGTTTGACGTTTGAGGAAGAGGAGGAGGAGTAAGTGGTAATTCTGGTTAACAATGATGAACCTGCCCAAATGAACAAAAAGAAAAGGCCAAAATGATGTGATTCTGTACATGGCGAAATAGAACAGAAAATAAAAAGTGCTTTTATCAATTTCAATTTATTGAGAAAAGTTTTCTTGATAGTGTTTCAATGAAGTAAAAACCACTCCCTATGGTGTGCAAGATCTTCTAATAACAGATCAAATAAAGGCAAGGGATTACTGATTTGTAGAAGTACTAAGTGTAGCACGATATTACGACCAGCAATGGGCAAGAGCAGTTATTTACAATTAGGGGATGAGTAACTAAATTAATAACTAAGTGCACTGAAGAACTAAAACAAAGATTTCTTTTCAGGATGGAGTGAGAGACAACTGTTGTGGAAGAGGTTAGTAAACAGTATTGCACCATGTTTCCGTACACGAGGCAGTTGTCTCCATCATATGCTACGAGGTGATGTTGTTAGCTGTTAGAAAGAGGAGCTTGGAACAAGTGTTTTCGTTAACATCTTTAGGCAACTTATTGTTTTAAACAAACAGTAGAATTTTCCTCTAACTTCAGGGCGTTGCTTCTCTTGGAAGCGAGGGAGGGGGAGTGAGGTAGTAGTCATTTTGAATCTTTACGTTTTATCTACACTTTCACCTAGGTCTGCCTACGGGGATATGTTAGCGATTAAAGAGGCGCTGTATGAAATTGTCACCGTTGTGTCAGGGACAGTTGAGAACTTTGTTAGGAGTGTAAAAGTTTATAGAGATTGACCGATTTGTATGGGTGTAAATTGTGGATTTTAAGAGGCTGGGGAAAGAAATGGGAGTAGACTTGGTAAAGAGGAGGGGTGGGGGTGAGGGGGAAGCAGTGATACACATCCTGTACATGTTTAAAGGCCCAGTTTCACCCTTAATGCATTGCGCGCCTCTCACTTCCATTTCAAATCGTGGTTATTTTTCCATTTCAGTTACTGTAATTAATGTAAATAGGTTTCTTTGTTATTATATTCTTCCTTTTCATCGATATTTCGGATAAAGTTTTTAAATAAGGCATTCAGTTCAATCATTTTGTGTGAGCATCTAGCTGTGGTGTGACTGAGATCAGTAATGGCAGATAAGGAGAGAACTGCGCATGTTGAAAGGCCCCGTTTACTGGGTTCCACTAAGTATATTCATCTTCGCCAGTCCGTCTTTAATCTTTCGAGAGAGGAAAGACATTCTGGGGAAGTTCACGGATAGCGAATTTGCAGAATATCTTCTACATCAAAGGTAAGCTTGCTTTACATGAGCTTTCGACCGCGTCTAAAAAGAAACGTTCTTGTTGTTTGGGCGATGGAACCTAAGCTTATATTGCTGGTACTGAGGTGGTAACTTATGCGAATTTGTGATTACATTTTGCTTTAGAGCTGACGGAGACCCTTCTCCCGGTGGGGATGAGTTACCTTCATACGATCTCGGTAAGCATACACAACTTGTGGAAATAAGTCTTCACACCGGCGGTTACCTTTGTCTCCCTTTATCTCGGATCATAAAAAGTGTTGAAATTTGTTTTC